CCGGCCTCCCCAGAGCACTGGCAAAGGGCTGCGGTGGCCGTGCCGGGACCAGCCGTGCCGGGAGGGCAGCAGCACTCGCCGTACCGCCATGGGGTGTCTGGACGGCAGCACCCCAGGAAAGGAGAGGGAGGCGTGGGGACGCTCGGCACCTGTGCTGAAGGATGCCGAGGGCTTCGGCTGCACCGCAGGAGGGATTTGGATGGTTGGTCTTGGCAGGGCTGTCTGGCAGGAGAAGAGCAGACAGGGGAAAGGACAGAGGTCTCCCAGCAGGAGGCAGCCAGGAAGGACACGCCATAGGCAGGACTGCAGCTGGGGCAGGCGAGAACAAGTCGTGCCGGTCCTGAAGGATTCCCCATCCCCAAATGGAAGGAAGCATCTTTCCAAAAGCACGATGCTGAGCGGCATCTCTAACAGAAACAGGCTTCTCCGCATACATTCCCCGCAAGCATGGAGACACCAGCCAGGACCCCCACCCTGAGGATGCTGAGAGATGCCCCAGGCACCAGCTCCGCAGCCCCCATCGCCTGCAGGCACCAACGAAGGCGGGTGGGAGGAGGAGGAGGATGAGCGGCAGGACTGCGGGCACCCCACGGGGCTGGCGGAGGGAGCAACAGCAGCAGCCCGGGACTGCGGCTGGGGGTCCGCTCAGCCCCTCCGGGGAAATCGTCTTCTTCCCTTCTTCTTCATCTGTGTTTCCCCCAACGTGCTATTTCAGGCCCAGGAGCTGCCTTTCAGCTCCAGCAGGAAACAATTAAGAAATCTGTGCTTTTTTTAGTACAGGAGAAACGCTGGTAACGACACGCTCAGGCTGGGGAGGGATGGAGCTGGCTCCACTCGTGCCTGCAGGAGGGATGCGTGACGCTCCCAGGAGAGGCTTTTCCGACGGAGAAGACCTGCCGGGTGCCATCCTGAAAACCAGCACGGAGCTCCCGAGGTGGGATCTGTTAATGTGCATCCCTGGAACGGGGCCACACAAAGCCTCATCCCTCTTCCAGCGCACCGGTGCCTTCCTCCTGCCCCTGCAGGGTTTGCCCTGGGCTGGGAACGCGGCCCCATCTCCCAGCCCTTGGAAAACCACCCACCCCAGGAGCATCCTTCCGCTGCCACCAAATCTTCCCTTTCCCCAGGGCAGAGTGTTCCCAGCACAGGGAAACACCACGGCCCCTAGCCCAGCGTCGCTGGGGCTGAGCGGGTACCTGCCTCCCCGTATCCGCAGTTACAGATCCGACACAGTCGATGACTTCGCGGTTGTCTCGCCCTTGAGTGAAATCCTATACATGTAAGTATTTGAATCTGCCATTAATTTTCTTGATTCATTCTCTTATTGATTTTCTTTCCAACTATTTCCATCCAATGTATCTAACAATTATTAGAGATGAGGCTGGAACCAAATGCCTGCATCCATACCCCCTCTGAGCTTCATGGCTCGTGCCCATCTTTAATTAACATAAATGTGAGCAAGGAAGCTTCCCAGGCTAATACCAAATTCTTTAATGCTACTATCTTACCTTCAACTATTTCTGTTGTGTTTCCCCCCACCCTGTTGCAGTTTGACACGCTTTTGAGCAGAGGTGGCTTCTTGAGAAAAAGCATTACACATCATAGAGCTTCATGTTTGATTGACCAGATGATTGACCAGAAGCTCAGCATGAGCCAGCAATGTGGCTGCCGAGCCGGGGCTGTGGCTGGGCACAGCCGCCGTTCCGTGCTCCCCAGGGACCGCCGTTCCCGCAGCCGCGATGGGGTTGGCTATAAATAGCACACGGAGCAGCTTGTTAGCGGATGCAGCGTGCCCCGGCATCCTTGGGGATGAAAGGCGTTAAATAAAGGCAGGGTATTAGCATTCGTTATGAACCGCAACACGCTAAGAGGCATCGCCGAGCTGGGAGCCCCGGCTACGCGCCGCAGACGCCCTCCGGTACATCCAACGCTGCACGGCAGCATCTTTGTTTCCGCCGCTCTTAGGAAAGTGCGGGGAAACGCCGAGCGCAGGGCTCACACCGCAGGCAGGGCAGGCAGCAGGCAGCAGGGTAGGCAGCAGGGCAGGCAGCCGGGCCGGCAGCCCCGGGCAGCAGAGGAGCCGCCCTGCACGGCCAAGTTTTGGCCAGGAGGGTTTCGGCCACACGTCCCATGCAGCACCCAGGGGCAGAGACTGCCCGACGCAGCCCCCAGCCCCCTCCTCCCAGCTACCGGTACCCAAAAAAAACCCACCCCAACCCTCTCCCCCCACCTTTCCATCAATCCCCATCGGCACAGGCGAGGACTGACAGCTCCGTCACCACCCGCCCTTCGCCTGCCCCCTCTCTTCCCACCACCCAGCTGCCACTGCAGCAAGAAACAGCTCTGGTTAATCAGTGCTCAAGCCCGTTAATTTGTGTTTGCCAGGCAGCGAGGGGAGGAGGGACCCGGGACTGAGAATCCCCGTCCATCACCCTGCCCGCAGCGGAGCTCGTTGCTCGCTGGACCACAGCGGGGACCGGGCAGCAGTACGGAGTGCAGGAGATGTGGCTGGATGCGGAATGGTTTGGGGATCCCCGGTCACGGTGGGATGCACGAGGTGACACGACGTTCCAACCCCACGGGGCTTTTTGTGTGCTGCCACGGGCACCGCCACCTTATCAGGGAAACCAGGGTTAATTATTTCCAGGCACAAAGAGACTCCCACTGCCGCTGCAGGGCACTCCCGCTCTGCCAGAACCCACGGGCGACTGGTCCTGCATCACCCACCGAGGCATGGCAGCGTCAGTCCTGCGGCATTTATTTCCCCTACGGACTCGCTGTGGCTCCTTCCCGGAGTATCCGCAGGTCCCTGCGCATCCCGGTCTGGGGGACACAGCACATCTCCCCGCGCTGGGGCTCCCCTCTGTGTTTGGGGCTGCCCCAACCAGCTGCCGATGTGCAGCGCAGCGCCCAGACCGCCCACGTGCGTGCAGAGCGGGCGCTCACGCGTGAATTGAGGGGGCACTCATGGGGGCACTCACCGGGCACCCACGCCAACTGATGGGCACTCCTGCATAAAGAAACCGGGCGTAGTCACGCTAATTGGGTGCTCGTGCACTGATTTGATGAGGTGCTCATGCGTGAACTACTCGGCAGCTCGGGCGTGAATGAACACCCATGCAGGGACCAGCTGGGCGCTCCTGCATTGCATTTTTTGGGCACTGATGAATTTATCGGGCGCTCATGCACGGACTAATTGAGCGCTCACGCGTAAATTCACCGGGCACTCCTGCGCGAACTAATTGGGCACTCATGTGTAAACTAGTGTAATTAGGAAGTAACACACTTGTGCATGTACCAATGTGTAAATTAGTGTAATTAGAAAATAACACACTCATGCATGTACTAATTGGGCGCTCAGGTGTGAACGGATCGGGTGCTCGTGCATAAATTAATTGGACACTGAGGCATGGACTGACTGGGGGCACATGCACCAGTTAATTGGGAACCCCTGCATCCACGAACAGGGTGCTCACGCACGGACCGGCGTGCGATCCGGCCCAAATTAGCTGTGCACCCATGCATAAATCGACCGGGTGCTCATATGTAAGTTAATTGCGCACTCGTGTGTGTATTAATTGGGTTGCTCATGCATGAACGTATCGGGTGCTGATGCGGAAACGACCGGGGTGCTCATGCATGAGCTCATCGCTCCCTCATGCGTAAAATACCACAGTGCTCCGGGCTGAACCCCGCGCACCCTGCAATTTGTGCCCAACACACTCCACCCCTTGCCTCGGTGAAACACATATTTAAGAATTGTCTGAACATAAATCTGTTACAAACTCCACTTTCAACATCATCACAACGTTAATATTCACCAATTACGAGCTTCCCCCCCCCTCCCTCCCCACCGAGCGGGCGACGGGGCTCAGCAGCGCGCGCAGCCTCGCTGGGATTGCGCTCCTTACCCCAGGGATGCAGATTTGGGGGTCAGCATCACGGCCCCAACACCCACCCACCGCAGAATGAGCCCCTGGTCCCCACAGTGCCACCCCGGGACAGTCTGAACGGATCCTCGGTGCAGACTTCACACCT